AATTTTCTAACGAACAATTTAGTAGCACACAATCGCTAGTTTATTCAAGCATTGAACTAGAATTTTCCCAAAATATTTAAAAGTATAATAAGTAGGTACCAAAATGAACAAGTGAACTAGCGATTGTGTGGTTTTATCTCTGTTTCATTGCAGTTGGGGTAATGTGTAAATTGTACCGAAGGCAATAAAAGTACTAATTAGGCAATGCGTTTCGTACCGCACAACTTTTCTATAATTTATTCAACATGCTGATGATCAAGATCTAACAAGAGACTTAAAAAAAAAGGAAAATATAATAAAAATCTTCTTGGACATGTAGGTAATTAATAATCCATTAGTACGATGGGGTACTCTAGGTAGTTCAGGAAATACCAGAAATAGGAACAAATTAGTGAAAATTAGCATAATCAATGCAATGATTCATTTTACCTGAGCGGTACAAATCGCTATGTACCCTGCAGTTGACACCTTCATTAGAGATTCAAAACAGTGTTTGGGTGTGTCAACGCAAATTTTACCTTTTTTTTTTCATTGTATACATCGTGATAAGCTTAGTATTTTGGAAATTATGACCCAGGCCACCCCATAAGAAGTAAAATAACAATGAAGTCATAAAATGAAAATGAGTAATAAGGGTTGAACCCGGGCACCATTGTCGGAGTTGTATCAGTTAAGAAATCCCCATGTAATAAAGGAATTATTATTGATGTATGATATATATTTTTTTTGGGAATTTGCTTTTAGGAAGTAATAATAATTAAGTTTATCAAGTGTTTTTATAATTAATGCATATCGAAATTTACAATGGAATGGTAGTAAAATCCATTGCTACCAGTGTAAGTACCCGCTTTGTCATTTTTGACTGAAGTGTCAAATACAGTCAGAATGGACACTTGGTAATATTTGACAAGTTAGTCATGTCAATTCTAAACGTTCAAGGCTTCCTTAAGGTCCAAGGAAACCTCAAGGAGCGACTATAAATTCAGCCCTTAGTTAAAAACTTTTGACAATTTCTCAAAACATTTGTAAACGTCAAATGAAAAAGTTAGGAGGGAGTGACATTTATATTACATCACCCTGTACCTGCTGTGGCCGCGCCTATGGTTTACGATTTATATGGTTTTAATTCTTATAATCCTAACATGGTAATGAGCCACACCCTTTCCATTTGAAAAAATCGATAATAATTCAAAAATGCGCTTCTACTATTTTTAAATGGGTCTGTAGAGGATATAAACTACAAAATAAGATCAAAACAAATATTCTTAGGTTCCTTGGAGCAAAATTAAGCATTTTAACTAACTCATGGTGCTCTAGACTCAAAATTAAAATTTTAGATAATATGGAGATAAAATGTCAAAACTAAAAAATGAGTTGTCATTGAACCCGTAATGAACGAAATAAGGGAAAAAACCACTCATTTAAAATATGTGAGCTAGGGCCACTTCCGATCAAGATATAATAAATAATTGAATACGTTAAATATTGCACATTCCGGTCATAAATACACACACCAAATTTCATTTGTTTATTTTCAAAAATAAAAGATTTATTGGAGTTAGCGGGTTTTAAAAACACCCGGTATACCGGGTGTTAAAAAAATACGTTGAAAAACTTTAAGGAGTGATGCGCTGAATACTCCTAGTTTAAAGTTTTTTTAATGAGAATTGATTTAAATAGTTAATTTACAATAGAATTAGATATCGTTAAAAAATTAATCTTACCACAGTTTAACACCCACTTCTTGCAAAGATCTTCGTCTTTGTAAGGAAATCGGAACATCCGAACTCCCTTTTCGCGGCGTACATGGCAATTGAAGAACTTACATCTATTGCCAGCCACCTTAGACTCCATATTAACACCAAATTGTGAAACAATTATCAAAAACTATTCGAAAGTAAATTATTCCGTTCAAGTATCACTACTGTTCGAATCGAAACTGAAACCAAACTTGAAATTTGTTTAGAGCTTGACCTAATCAAAAGTTGCGCGTCGTCTCAGCTGCAGTGGGTTCGCAACGGCAAAATTTAAAGTTTGACAACGTTGGAATATTTTAAGCATTTAGCAGGGTTCGTTTCAGTAGGGTAGTAGCCGCGTAATTCGAATACATTATTATTTCGGCTTGTCGCGCCATCTATCCAATTTTAATAGACCTAGATTATGCCTGCATTACCATCGGACTTCTAGAGACGGTAGGCTAGTATATTCTTTGGCTGAAGTTCTTTTTGTAGGATCACACCCCCTTTAAAATTTACTTCATGGGCAAGAGGGAATGTTTGAAGTAATCCCATGAGATAAAATGTAAGATACTGTTACGAAATAACATTGGTGCGAAAAAGCCGACGAATCTTTGCACGACATTCAGGAATTCCTTCCCATCGTGTGCATTTAATAAAAAAAATGTCTCGGTTGACTCATTTCGCGTAGGGGCGTAAGGTTTTAAAGTTACAGTAAGTTAAAAATAGGAGTAGGTATCATTTCAACCTTGGATTTGTTTTTGATGAGAAGTTTTATTTTATTCCCTATATCGATCAAATATTGGCTACCAGCACATCTCTAGAACATTAGATTTCATACTAAGACCCTGCACATTTTTCTAGAATTTCTACTTCTAAGCTGGAGTGCGTTTAGAAATGGAGTGTGAAGCTAGAGTAGTTGTTTGTCAGAGTGTTCTGATGTCATCACTTGGAGTGCACTCTGGGTGCGCTATTTCTGAACGTATTGGGGCGTTGCCGTGAATGTTAATGTCATGAATCACGTCAGACCCGGTAAAAACCAATGTAAAAACCGCGGGGCGTTTTTCAACCCAGTCCCTGAGTGGGGTAATCTGGGCGCACTCTGGGCACGTCAACTCTCGATTTCTGAACGATTCCAGCGTAACGCTCCAAGTATGAACCTGTTAATTTATGAACGGTTTAGAGTTACCCTAGGGCCTAGGGTCACTCTCACACCCAGAGTGCTATTTCTAAACGTACCCCTGCTGTACTATTCATATGTGAGATCAAAGTTTGATTATGATTCGGTAGTATGGTCTCCTATACCTATCTTACTGTATTGGAAAGATTCATCGAAGAGCTTTGATTTCACTAAACTTGTAATCTTCGAATTATTTGATTTAAACCTATGGATATGGCAATCATCCCATTCTCCTATCGAGCTCTGCAGCCTTTCCTCCAATTTTTACAATCCAGAAACTTCTCCCTAAGCTCTGCCTCGTGGATTTTTCGCTTTAGCTCCAAAATTTCGCTGGCTGGTTTCTCAATTTCCCTTTTTTGTGCTTCAAGCTTTGAAACAAAACAATTTTTTTTTTCATAGATCGCATCGTCAAAAGCAACGCTATCAAGCTTTAGTCGTTGTATGTATTGTCCCTCGATTTTAATCTGACACTTTCCGTATGAGAAGCGAGGGGGTGAAGCATATGGCAAAAACCACGTAAAAACAGGTGTGACGTCAGGTAACCATTGGCGTTCTAACGTAGGGAGCCACCAGCTCAAATTTCTTTGGAGTATCAGATTAAAATCGACGGACTTTACTTATTCTGTGCTTCCAGTTCATCCTGTAGCCCGTAAATGCGTTGCTCCGCACGAGTCAACTGGTCGTCCTTAACTGCTTCTGCTTCTTGACATTTTGCAGACAGAAGATCTTGTAACAACCCAACTTCACAATTTCCTTGTAACGGTCCGAGCAGCGTCGATAGACACATTGATGATATAAAGTTCAATAGGTTTATCCCTAACAGTTTTCGAGAAAAAAAAATATTTCGGTTTTTTTCATAAGAAACAATGCGTTAGAAAGAGACCTTTTTCCGTTTCCTTACAAAGATAAAGTCCTTCTCTAACACATTGTTTCTTATGACAAAAAAACGAAATATTTTTTTTTCTCGAAAACCGTTAGAGATAGACCTATCGAACTTTATATCATTGAAATCAGAAAAAGCAGAACTTTCTGATGAGCTATTAATATATAGGGTGTCCTATTGAAAAAAATCGAATTTTGGTCAATATCTCGAAATCGAAGCCAAACAGAAAAAAACTGAGAACGTCACTGAATTCTGCTTGAAAAAGTGCTTCCAGAAAGTCCTTACGGAAATTGATTATTTTCATAAATAAAAAAGTTATAGAGACTTTACAGTATTGCTCAAAATCGAGAATCGCCCTCTAGAGGCTAAACGGTTGAAGGTTACAAAATGCGGTTTGCACCAATCAAGATTTCATGAAATTTGAGCCTCATAGTGGGGGGTCCATTTTAAGAGTGTTTCCATGAGAAAGTGTCCAATTTTGACCATCCTGTACAAGCCTATTATTTGCAGGTGCTTCATTACTGAAGCATGCCCAGTAAGAAAGCCGGTTGCTACTCTGAGTTGGTTCCTGCTTAGTTGTAGCAGTCTTTCTGCTCTTTTACTGCATGTCTTACATATAAAGATTTTCCCATGTGCATGCTTGGGTATTTGCTTCCAGTATTGAGCATGTTTTGCTTTGATTCATTCCTTCAGCTCCTTTCTTACGTGCTTTTGGGCACGCCAAGAACTGGTTCGGGACCAAAGTATTCTGTGGATGACCACCTGAGTGCAAGTTCGTCAGCCTTTTCGTTGCCCGGGATACCTCTATGTCCTGGCACCCACATCAATGTGACGTTATTTTGGTCCGCCAAGTTGTTGAGTTCTTCTCGGCATTCTATTACCAGTGCAGTTGCCTTAGGGTTCTTCAATGCCCCCAGTGCTGCCTGACTGTCTGTGAGTAAAGTGAGTCTCCTGTCTTATAAGTATGAAAGGCAGTTTATTGTCCCAAGCCCTAATGGTTTGTGACTTCGTATCTGAGGAGTCAGCATTAAGGACCCTCCAGGCAGGTTTTATAAATATGAAGGGAAAAATTATGAGCTATCTCTATCCTATGAGGGCGGAGACTTCGGAGTTTGACAGATTGTCCACAAACTGTCACATTCAGTACAATTTATAATAAAGTTATTTTGATTTATAAGGAATAGGCTTTTAAAATTTTTACCTGAGGATCCATCATAATGGTGTTCCAAATAAGTAGGAATACCTGGATGGTGTAAGTGAGAGCTGGCAGGCATATTTGGTATATTGAAACCCAATGGGTGCTGCTGATGTCTGTAGGAAGACCCTAATTTACGAGGCGAACGTGACCTTAATATTGATAGTGGCGGCTTATACATGTCTTCTAGTATAGAGGGTGCTACATAAGTAAAACCCTAAAAAATATAAGGCAACAATTAGGCACCAAAAACATTACCTACTGACAATGAAGAATTTACCTCAAAAATCATATTGACACTTTCACTCAAAAATGAGTCTACTGGTGAATCTACAGGAGTCTGTTTGGTGAACTTAGGATCAAATTGAGAAACATCGTCCTCACTTGACTAAAATTGAAAAAAAAAGATCATTTCAAAAATAATCGAAATAATAACTTACCACACAAGGTTTATAGGGTGGCTCCAATCTTTTATTAAGCACATCCTCCCAATTGATATGTTTGAAAAATGGATGCTTCTTTATCGCTTTGGCATCATCTGGAGGTGCTCCCAATCTATCTTGTGGTTTTTTTTTCAATAATCGCCGAAGAATATCCTTCATATCAGCAGTCATGTATTGAGGAAATGTTAGTTTTCCACGGAGGATCAATTCAATAGTTGCTTTACGACTACCACCATGGAAAGGAGGCTAAAATGAAAATATCAGTGAGTGATTTGGTTTCCCAAGCCATAAAAAAAAAACTTACTGCACCAGTTGTCATATCATAAAGGAGAGCGCCCAATGACCACCAATCGGCTGCTTTTCCATGGCCTTGTCTTAAGATTATTTCAGGGGCCCTAAACAGTATCAAAAAATTAAATATAGTTTTGTAATTTAAACTCAAACAACTAACATGTATTCAATAGTTCCACAAAATGTTAAGGTTCTAGTATTGTCTTGTATATGTTCCTTAGAAAGACCAAAGTCTGTCAATTTAACGTGGCCTTCGTGATCTAACAAGATATTTTCTGGTTTGAGGTCCCGGTAGATAATGCCTAGGCTATGTAAATGCTCAAGAGCTAAGATGATTTCCGCTAGGTAAAATCTAGAAAATAAATAAACCTATAGAAATATTCTTGAAAGCTTGTGATAAATGCTTACGCTGAACACTCTTCCATGAAGATGCCTTCATTCTCTAAGTGTGTAAATAGCTCACCACCATTGAGATACTCCAACACCAAGTATAGTTTACCCCCCGTCTGGAACGCATAGTTCAACTGTACTATAAATGGGTGCTAAAAAGAAATATATGTAAGTATTCTGAATGGAATTAAAATCCTTCAAACTAACCATCACAGATTCTAGGATATTTCTTTCAGCCTTTGTATGAGATACATCCTTTTGATTTCTAACAATGGATGCCTTCCTAAGCACCTTCATGGCAAAAATTTTTCCAGAATCCGCTCCATTCCGCTTTCGGCATTGGAACACTTTACCATATCCACCCTTGCCTAGGACTTTCAATAGATCGAAATCCTTGGGGGACATACGCTCTTGAGTCGGGTTTACATTGGCCCCGGTAATCTCCAGGGTATCAAAGTCTTCACCAGTTAGGCTAGAAAAAAAAAACTTAATGAATACAAATTCAAATAGACTTTGAGCTAGCCTTAAAAGTAAATGGATAAAATGGACGTTTGTTCTTAATGGTGTAAATTTTCCATTCGCTTTCATTTGTAGTATTGACAGGTGAGAAAGTAATGGAACTTTATTTACAGTTTAAATCTATCTATTGTAAATTTAGGCAGTCCGACCCTGAGTTGGCCAGTAGTTGGGGTTGGACCTAATGCGCTGGGTGAGATTAATAGAAAATTTACACCATTACAAATAGTTTGTTTTTCATAAGTTGGAGGGTGTAGTTTCATTTCTTCAATGATCCTATCCACAAATTTTTATTTTTGGAAATGACCCGAAAATGTTGATATTTCCTCAAATTCAAGATGAGTCTAAAGCAATGAAGTAAAAAAAAAAAAATAGAAAGAAGGTTTGGAATGGGCTTTGCGTTATTCAATTGATTCCAGAATGAGCGCTAGTAAGGACAAAAAATCTATTGGATCTCCTATATCTCTCACTCTAACCCTGAGTGAGATAGCGCTAGTAAGGGCAAGAAAATCTCACGGATCTCTCCTGTTCTCTAACTCTAATGTTGGCCGCAAATATACAGGGTGTACTATTTGAAACGAAACAGGCTAAATATCTGATGCCACGTTTATTTCAAAAAAAATCGCTCGTACACGTGATTGGGTTTTCAAAGGGGGAAGTTTTCTGCAACTATTTTTAGCATTTCAACTTTAGCCCTCTAGGCGGGGTGGGACCAACCCTTACTAATTCAAATGGAACAAGGGGTCGAGTGATACCTCTTTCAAAAGAGTGTTCAATTCTCTTTCATTTGATGTCATTTGAAAGAAAATTGAACGCACTTTTAAAACAGGTATCACTCGACCCCCTGCTCCATTTGGAATGGTAAGGGTTGGTCCCCTCCCTAGAGGGTTAAGTTAGTGCTGAAAATATTTCAAACACTTCACAGAATCAAATTACGTGTACGAACGATTTTTTAAAAAATAAAAGTGACATCAGATATTCAGCCTGTTTTGTTTTAAATGGTATGCCCTGTATGTATTGAGTAGATAGGCAAAGGGCTATACCAATTGGTATAAAGTATACACTGGGGTGCGTTCACTTTGGACGTCGAACGAAGTCGGACGCGCCGAATATTGTTCCTTTTGGACGTCGAGTGAAATTTGATAGCGTTCAGTTTGATGAAAGATTACGTCGGGCGACTTGCGACTTGCTATCACGTCCCAAGAATCGTACACTACAGGATTGCTCAATCGGCTAAATCTGCCCATTAGTCCTATGACGTCACCTGCATTCCTGACTTTCAAGATGGCCGCCGATACGAATGATTGTTCAGTTTGTGGCTGACAATTATTTTATCGTAAATTCGAAGTTTATCAAGTGTTATAAGTGTAATTTAAAGTTTCATTTAATGTGTGTAAGCATAAAAGACTCATGGCTTAAAATAATCGCGGAAACCCCAAACATTTTCTGGTTTTAGTGGTTTTGTAATACTGGATTTATTGCATCAGGACATAGATTTCTTCCATTCGTGTGTATTGCTTAGTTTCCTACTGTTAGTATTTCCTGGTCAAGTATTTGTATTGTTTTTTTTTTTTGCAAGTTTCCTTTGCATGTAATTACCAGAAATTAGAGTTTGAAGAGAGTAAATAAATAAATAAATTCTTTTATTTGCGCGTTTACTACGTAAGTGCATGGAAAATCTGAGAAACTTGCATTGTTTTTCTGGATTATGATTATGAAAATCTAAAGTAGGTATAGTATTTCTAATACCCATTTAGAATAACCTCATCCTTAGGGCCAAATTAAGGACCGACTGGTAACGTTATTGGCACCTATATTTTGCTGGTAAAGTTTAAAATTACATTTAATTTTTAGTTTTACCAGCAGGCTAAATTTGCCAGAGACGTTACCAGTAGGTCCATAATTTGGCTCTTACCAAGAAAAACGAACGTCGATTGCTAATACGTCAATTTTATGTACAAACAGGAGATTCCTAACCTAATTTCATTCGTATGTTCAAGAAGCGATATACGTCAAGTCACTAGAACGACTGGTACTTCCAAATAGATATTAAAAATTCTATATCACTATTTGGCTTTGTGAGATAAGCACTTTATACGTTGGATGTCTATATTAAATCGTTCTGGTACCTATGAAACTATTGAATAATAATCGAGAAGTAGGTAGAGACAGTAAAAAATAAAACACACTATTGCAACCACGTTTCCCTTATATTTTGATATTTAGAAATGCAAAAATTAAATCATTATTACACAAAACATGTTATAATAACCTTGTGTTTTTTGCCAAACAGAGAAACATATTAATTATGAAGTACTATAGCTGTTGAACTGAAAAAAGGTAAAAGAAAATAAGAAATGTATGCACATTTTAATATAATATTTATGTATGTGGGTATTTTGAAATTACCCTGCTGATAAGCAGCCAGCAAACAAACTCAAGTCTTTGTACAAGCTCAAAAACACGGTTGATGACAATAATTATTAATAATCAGCCAAAAACTCAAGCACAAAAACTTTTAAAGTCTTTGCTAAAGTTAAAAAACACTGTTTTCAAAGTTTTTCAGAGAAATAATAAATTTTTCCGGTTTGAAAATGCACTGTCATAATAAAAAAACAATCCGATCAAGGACTGCGTGACGTCACTCGCATTCCTCCATGATGATATTTTAGTGAACGTGTGTCTTATGAGATTGAGCAATATGGTAGAGTTTACGATTCTTGATCAGGTCCACCTCGAGCACATGGACGAAAGTTGCCGGACTTGATGCGCGTTGGGAATGTTGGCAATCAGCTGATTAACAATAACAAAATAAAACAGAAAAATCACAGCTAAACTAGTATTATTGTCTTCCATCAGGAAAGAGTTATAAATACTTCAAAACAAGGGGTGATTCAAATGCTTTTTGCACTTTCCACTTTTCGTGGTCAATATAATAGTGGAGTTAAGTCAACGTCAACAAACAACAAGCGTCCAGTGCGTTAAGTTTAACGATCGCCGGACGACTCGTCCATGACGACATTTATCCGGTAAGTAACCTTGTCGGACGTTTCAATGTGAACGCAGCCCTGGTGACGTCTAGGGTGGCGTTCATTAGGGCGTAGCGCAACTGTAGCAATCAATTTTCTGATGAAGGCCTGTTTTGTAAAATGACCACTCCGCATCCCTACTGGAGCAGACCAAGAATCTTAAACTCTTCAGGATTGCTCAATCGGCTAAATTTGTTCACAATTGCTGTGACGTCACGTGCATCCCGGATTTTCAAGATGGCCGCTGATACGAATGATGTTCAGTTTGTGCTGACAATTATTTTATCGTAAATTCGGATTTAACAAGTGTTATAAGTGTAATTTAAAGTTTCATTCAATGTGTGTAAGCATAAAAGACTCGTGGCTGAAAATACTCGCGAAAACCCCAAGCATTTTCTGGTTTAAGTGGTTTTATAATACTGGATTTGTTGTATCAGGACATTACTTTCTTTTATTCGTGTGTATTGCTAGTTTTCTACTATAGTATTTCCTAGTCAAGCATTTGTATTGCTTTTTTTTTTGTAAATCAAATAGTTGTAAGTTTCCTTTGCATGTACCTAATTACTAAAAATTAGTGTTCGTGAAGAGTGAATAAATAAATATGTAAATAAATTCCTTTACTGGCGCGTTTACTATGAAAACGCATGGAAAATATGGGAAGCTTGCAATGTTTTTCTGGAATATGATTATGAAAATCTAAATTAGGTATCACTATTTGGCTTTGTGAAATAAGCTTACTTTGAATGTCCATATTAAAACGTTCTAGTACCTATTAAACTATTGAATAATAATTAAGAAGTAGTTAGGGGCAGTGAAAAATTAAACACTATTGCAACCACGTTTCGCTTATATTTTGATATTGAAATGCAAAAATTAAACCAGCTCGCTCATTTGGTTTTCTACTGTTTCTCAACTGTAGTCAATTGTGCCCGTTTTGTGCTCAATTGTGCCAGTATTTATGCGAATTGTGCTCATTTCCATACACAAAAAAAAAAAACATTGAAACAAATCCGGGGGCCAGCTTGACTCCAGCCCTTTGTTTTTTTGACTTTTTGGCAATATGTTTGGCTAATTGATAAACAAAAGCAAACAAACTCGTCTTTCTAATTAGCCAACTACTCAAGCCTCAAGGACACAAACTTTTGAAGTCTGCTAATTTTAAAATTAATAAATTAATTACAAAATACAGTTTTCAAAGGAAATAACCTCAAAATAACAATTTTTCACGTTTGAAAATGCAAGGAAAGTGCACTGTCATAATAAAACACAAACCGATCAAGGACTGCGTGACGTCATTCGCATACCGCCATGTTCGATGTTTTTATGAACGTTTGTCTTATGGGATTGAGCAATCCTGTAGAGTTTACGATTTTTGGGAGCGGACGGCGTTTTATCTATCATAATTTTTTTTCGCTACGATAAAGATTAATCAAGAATGTCCTGATGAACGCGCCCACTGTCTCTGATTTTAAACAGTGAACTTTATTAAGACATTCAGCTGACGTACCGTATCCAACTTTTTTATTGTTCATTTTATATTTGGATTGCCTACTTATATTTTTTTGGCACAGATAATTAAAAGTGTTTCTTCTCAATCATCTTTGACTGTATCTTGCTGTTGAATTCTAAAATTATTAGGTAAGTTTTGCCTAAAGACTTATTATTGATAATATTATTGATAATAAAATGATTTGAAAATCGAACTGATGCGAAAGCGCAGGCAATGGGACATCAGAGGGCCAAAACTGGCGAGGATGTCGAATTTCTCATTAGTAAATCATTTCAAAACGTTACTAGGTCTGATCCGGTGTTCTATTGCGCAATAATAATCTACATCCATTTCTAGGAGACCCGTGTTTTTTATCTTGTTCAAATGTTATCACAAACTTCCAAAAAAAAATTATAAAAAATCCTAATTTGAATTTTT